GGGCAAAAGGAAAGAAGAGGCATCATGGACCGGCCAGGGCTTTGATTTTTGGAGGCACAGCGAACGTGCCAGCCGCTGGGAATGCCTGTGCTCTGAGTCACCGCTCCTGAAAACACAGGAAAACTAAACAAAAACCAAGGGGGAAAACCCCAGACCTGCAGGGCAGGAACCAGCCCTGGTTGGACCCGAGAGAAAAGGGGACTGGGGCAGGAGGAGGCGCTGGAGCAGGAGGGATTCAGGTTGTGTCCCCGTGTGCTCGCATGGGCTGATAAGCAGCAAACACAAGCGCTCCCGGGTTGGTGTCTCCGTGTGTGATCCCGTCTCCCGCCCTTCCAGGCCTCCAGCTGGCTCTTCTCTCACTTCCCAACCTCACACCAAACCCTGCGGTACCGGCAGCCCTTGGAGCAGCTCCCAGGACACTCACCTGGCTCCCGACCGCAGCAGGGTCAGAGCTGCCGTGTGCCTGGATTCACCCTGCAGCAGCGACGCCACGAGGGACGGGCACGGGACAGCGAGCCGGGAGCACCGTGTCCCTTCTTGGGGATTTCCCACCCCAAAAGCTCAGAGCAAGCTAAGAGAAACCCCAAAAGACACCTTGGCCCCACATGTTTTGCAAGTGGGAAACCCAGGACACAGGGAAGTGCCTCTTAGGGAGAGCAGGAACTGGGAATGGGGCAGAGAGAGGCTGCCTTTCATCTCATGCTGCTTTTACAGACTAGGACCCCAGACGGGGCCCAAAATCGCTGCTTGGTCACTTTAGAAACAGCAACTCCAAAAGAGAATTGAGTTTATCTATGATTTTAACTAACTCAGTTCCTCAGGGCAGACTCCCAAGTATATCTGGGTGCCTAAGGAGACAGGGGGATTGCCAGGAGGAACCAAAGTGGGTGCGCGGCGCCCGGGAAGGTTCACCCCAGCCGTGCTGCCCCGCTCGCCGTTTGCAACGAGCCAACGTGGTCCAGCAGGGCAGGGGGAGCCCTGGATCCCCTCGGCGCCCACGGCCTCCCCTTCCCGTCCCCGTCGCGTCCCCAGCGGCCACCTACCGCCCGCGTCGCCGCCGAGGAAGTCGGCGAACTCCTGCGCCAGGGCCTCGTCGCTGGCGAAGGCGCAGATGCAGGCGAAGAAGTGGATGCAGCGCGGCGGCGGCGCCGGCGCCTCCTCCTTCACCACCAGCACGCTCTTGGAGATGCGCTGCACCAGCGGCCCCGTGGGCTCCGCCGCCAGCTGCCACAGGGTCTGCTTGGTCTCCGGGGAGGCCTGCATGGAGCTGAGCACCGAGTTCTTCAGGGTCAGCGGCGTGGCCTCGGTCTGGCAGCTGAGGGCCAGCTTGACGTGCTGGCACTGGTTTTCCACCACGCCTTGCGCGGCCGCCTTCAGGCACGAGGGCACGTAGCAGCGGCCGGAGCTGAGCTGCGTGATGATGGTGCCCTCCACCGTCTGGATGGCCGTCTCCGAAACGCCCAGCTCCACGAAGCAGCGGTAATCCGGGCCCCGGTCCCGCTGCCGCACCGAGTAGACTTGCAGGTCGGAGCCGGTGATGATCTTGACGGCGTCGACGCTGGGCTGCTTGCGGGCGCCGTAGCGGAACACGGTGCCGCACGTCTTGTTCTTGCAGCTCAGGCCGCGGGTGCCGTTGTAGGTGCCACAGCGGGGGCATTTCCGGATGCCCCGCAGCGTGGCTTTGCCCAGGTCCGACAGGAAGGCCGGGACTTTGGTCCGCACCGCGCCGGGCTCCATCCTCCAGGCAGCCTGCATGGGAGAGATGGCGACGTGAAGGAGATGGCGACGTGAAGGAGATGGCGACGTGAAGGAGATGGCGACGTGGAGGGGACATGGGGACAGGAACCCCAGGCCTGGCAGGGTCTGGTGACACCGTGCGGCGCCTCGGCCAGTGGCAGCGCCCCTGTGGCGGACGGGGAAGCGGCCGGAGGGGAAGGCGGCTGTGG